ATAATTTATATCATTTTACTCTCATAAATAAATGAGACCTACACATTTATATTTTTTTGTCCACTATCTCTCCTCATTTATTTATCTTTTTCTCTCACTTAAAATGACACAATTTTACATCCTTTAAAATGATACACACTTTTTCATTTATTTATTTGTAAAATTTACATGTAAAAGAATAAGGTAATATTTTCCTCCTTTCACATGAAATCTTTTACTTTTCTTTTATTTTAAAAATAGTAGACTCCACAATTGATTGTCTCTGTGACATGACCTAAGATTTTTTCTACAACATAATATTTATTTTTCCCAAAAGAAAATAATAGTTGCACATCATTTTGGTGACTTTTAGTTCTGGTAAAAATACCTGGTAATCAATTAATATTTTTGTTTATCCTCATTCATCATATAATAATCATTATTCATTAATTATTTACACGTCATTTATTAGTGTATGTAGTGCGGGAAAATGATTTTTTTTTTTGGTAACAAGTGCGGGAAAATGATTTATACATACCATAAATGTTACATATATGAGTAAGCTGGCCACTAGCGAAAAGGTTGTCTTGGAAAATGTCTAAAACAATGTGTTTGTGCGTGCGCGAGACTGGAAGATAGGAGAGAGTCATTTGACTCATTTTGATTCTTTTGCATAGACCGTTGAGAAAGACATTTTTTATTGGATTTTATTAATCTCATGTTAAAGAAAATAGTTATCTCATGTGATAGAGACAAATTAGTGGGCTCCATCACCTGAAAAAATAAAAGAAAAGAAAAAGGTGGCACAGTTATCGAAGAGTGTGTAGGAGAGAAAACTTATCTCATGTGACATGAGAATAGTTTTTCCCTTTTTTATTTTATACTTTAAGTACATGATGAAAGGCAAATTTTTAAAGAAGCTGGCTTCTGATTCAAGTTTCAAGTAGAAGACAAATGAGGATGAGGGACAAATTTTACCCAATTCGCTTGGATTATATCGGGATGTTTGATAGAGGATATTTTTATTTGTTCATGAAAATATAATAAAAAAGTAAATTTTCTGGAAATATTATTAAAAAAGATATTTTAAAAAACATTGGCTCAAATTTTCTTGATCTATTTTTGATTGATTGTCAATTATTTCTGAAAATGTGGGCTAAATTCACAAAACTAATCTTTGATGAATATTAAAGTAGGATTATTTATATAAACTCAGATATTAAAACAGGATTATAAATGTCCTAGAAATTATGTAAAAAAATTTCACTAGGTGAAAATCCAAGAAGCCCATTCACCTGATAGTAGTATTTCATGGAATTCTTATTCATCATTTTAATTCTCAAGACTCTCATTTTCTCAAAAAAAAGATTTAAAAATTCTTGTACCAAACATGAATAATTAGAATTTTCAATTTATATTTATTGAAAATCTAAAATTTACCCTTCTACTAAATAGCCCTGTATCTAGATTGTAGACCGAACCCAAAGCTTATAAGAGAGTGAGTATGCATTGTATAAATGAATCCATGAGCAAGCAAGTGAGAATATATGTTTTTTTTTTTGTAATTAGCGAGAGTACACTGCTTTGAAATTTTCAAGTTTGCTGAGAATTATGGATTTAGATCCTTTCATGTAAAAAAATAATTATATGATCACATTGATAATGAGATAAAAGAGAGAAAAATATATAATTTTTAAATGAGTGATTGTAATCAAATAACATGATCATATGATAACTTTTTCACATGTGAGAAGATTCAAATCCAAGAATTATAATGTAGGTATCCTAAAAAAATAAAGTGATGTAAAAATAGATTTTCTGATAATTAATAAAGGCTTTAATGTTTCTACAGTGAATATAGATAAGTTATTTATATTTGCTCCCAAAATGACATCGTTTAGGGTTGAAGAATTAAAAAAATTATAATGAAAAAGATTATTATATAAATTATAATTACAAAAATAACTTAATTTTTACCTTTCAATATAAATAAATTATTTATATTAACTGCAAAAAAAAAAAAAAAAACCCATTAATAAATAAAGAACCAAGCATATTTGTTTAGCATTTGACTCACATGTACTGAACGTTTTACAAATCCGTGCAGTTCCTTTTCCCTTTATCCAAGGCATTTAAATAAGTCGCAACTATGAGCATTGGAGGGGGGCAAAAAACATAATATAAAAAACTCATGGACAGATTTGAGATCTTAGAAATTAGCTAGAATCGTATTGTTAACAGGAAGATGGCGAAAGCATCTGAACGAAAGTCCAACTCAAATCTTGATGCATTAATTGGTTGGCAATGCTTCTGGTTCTCTTCCATCCAATCCATCAGCTATGCATTATTGCTTCTTCACCTTTGGAAAGGCCAAGCCCATGACATCACTCACATCTTATCTTGCTTTGCATCCGAGTAATTAATTTGTACGCATGCAATTTTTGACTGAATAAACACACACACACACTAACTAATATTGTTAGTGTTGAAGTGTTGTAACTTGTAAGGACACCACTGTAAATGATACATGATAATTATAATTTCTCGGAGAGATATAAAATTTATTAATATAATTTCACTCAATTATTTAATTTTCTAATTGAATTAATTTTTTATATGATATGAGAATGGGTGTGTGACTAACCAAAAAAATTGATTCAAGTGGTACATATTTAATTCCACTTTAGCAAGATCTTCGGTTCAAGTTTTTGTACATGCAAAAAAAAAAAATTGGGAGAGATAGACTCACCTTTGAGAAGTCATGGGCCCAATAGTGCTTTATTAAAACCGGTAACCTGATCAACAAAAGACCCTTCTCAAGTTTGATGAGCTGCTGTCGAATTCGCTGTTCCAATCCGCTCTTTGGCTCTTAGTAAGAAGATGAAGAGTGAACAGCAAATTCTTCGATCGGCAAATCCTCTATTGGTAGAAATATTCCCGACTCAAATTGAATTACCTCCCGTGAAAGATACTTTTAGTTTATCCACACACAAAAAGAACTGTGTGACTAAGTGGTTATGAGAGAGTGTATCTTTAGTATTGTATGAATATGTACTCCTTTAATAAAAATATGATAAAATGAGGACTTGGGGAAAAATGTGAAAAAAATGAAAAAGTCAAGTATATTATTTTTTCATATTTAGTAAAAGATGTAATGATTTTTCATTCTCCTATAGTACAAAAGATATATTTATTTACTGCTCTTATTTTATTAATAAAAATAATTAAATATTATAAAATCTCTTAGCATAAGTAGTTCATGTTGGATGCATTATCCATCATTCAAACATATGAACTTTTATGTAAAAAAATGTGTCAAATAAATATAAAATTATTAATATAATCTAAGTTTTTTATAAATAAAATTATGATGAGTAACATATGAAAACTAAATTAATTGAATAAAATGACGCTCAATTAATATTCTTATGATGAGTGGTATTTTGATAAAAAAAATTTCTAACCTCACAATCCGATAAATTTTTGCTAAAAAATGACACAAAGGTGATTGTCCCAATTATGTAACATATGGAAACTGAACTCTTCTGACATATATACATCACTCATTGTCATCGTTCGTCGACACCATCGAAACTGATCGTACTGGTTATCTGGTGGGTTCCCCACGGTTTTTTCCATGCACCAGCGCAGTGCCTGATTTAAAAGGAAAAAGATTTTGTAAAAAAAGAAAAAAGATTTGTACTATCAATCGTATATTGCAATGCCAGTCAAACTATCTTTTCCTTGACGACACCCTGACGCACACACTTCATTATATTACCCTTTCTCCGCTTCCACCTCATAATAAAACTTCAGCAAAACAGAGGGACATCTTACAAATCAAATTTTACAAGGTTAAATATTTTTTTTTTTTTTTTTGGTTTGTTTTATAAACTGTACGAGTCTTAATCTTCAAAATTCATTTTAAGTTTGATAAAATGTTTAAGGGTTTTATTAATCTCATGTTAAAGGAGATAAGTTATCTCATATCATAGAGATAAATTTGTGGGCTTTATCACCTGAAAAAAAAAAAGTGACTCAGTTATCGAAGGATATGTAGGAAAGAAATTTATCACATGAACACAACCTTCTCCGGGCACCATGTCCTCGGGGTATGGCCCATTTGGGCTAGCCCCTCATTGTAACAGTGGGTGCACTAAGCTTCGTAGCCGGAGAAAGGACGAGACTAATCCCCAACCGAAGATTTTTTGACTTATCCTCTGAACCCAAAGATTTTCCAAGAAACTGCTTGAGGCAGGGTTTGATCCCTGCACTGCACCAAGCAATCCCTTGGGAGCTCAGCTGCCAACTGAGCTACCCTTGAGATTATTTTTAGATGCATGAAAAAGTGAGGGTAGGTTTTTTATAATTTTATGTTTGGTAGCACATTAAAAGTTTTTTTTCCGGGAAAATTTATTTTTTTAAAATTCTGTTTTGCGTATATTTTTGAAATCAAAATACCACCAAAAAAATACCATCCATAAAATGGTATTTTAAGAATCCCAGATAATTAAAAAATATGAATTAAATTTTCAAATAAAAAAAACTAAATATAATATCATAAAAATTAACTAATATTTTCGGGAATTCAAAGTCTATCAAACAAATTTTCAGTAATAATTCTAAAAAATTCACTTTCTCGTCATAAAATTATATCGCATAAAAAAAAAAATCTTACATACCATAAATTGCATTTTAAGTGACATAAATATTCTGTAATAAAATTTTAATAAAATAGGCCTAACCTAGTGGTGTTTAAGAATTATAAGACCTTGTAAAAGGTGTATCCCTACAGGCTAGAGCCAGCCTAGGAAAGACAAACATGTAAATACGAGGGATTACAGTCTTATCGAAATTGACAGCAATATCTACTTTTCTCTATTAAAATATATCAATTTTCTTTTTCTTTTCTTTTTCCTTTTTGTATTTAGTAACATTTTCATTATATTCAAATGATCGATTATTTCTGGTATAAATATTTGCACTTTGCCGGGGCCACAAGACACCGTAAGTCCATAACCATGAACGGCGAAATTTTCTTACATGAAACCACAACCACCAAAACGGCGCTCGAAGGAATCGCTGTGGTCGTTGGAGAACACGTCCTCTTTGGACCCAACTACAACAAAACGGCCACGTTTTCGGCTTCCATTTTGGTTTCGGAGCCTGTGACTCCAAAGAAGGTGGAGAACACCGTTAATGTTTCGGTTAACAAGAGCTACAGGGGAGTGAGGAAGAGACCTTGGGGTAGGTGGTCGGCGGAGATACGAGACCGAATAGGTCGGTGCCGCCACTGGCTGGGGACCTTCGACACGGCCGAGGAGGCGGCGCGTGCTTATGACGCGGCCGCAAGGCGCTTGAGAGGCTCCAAGGCTCGGACAAACTTCAAGGCACCGCCGGTGTTACCACTATCGCCGCCGTCAACCTCGGAAGTTAAACTTTTGAGTGGTGGTACCGTTAAGCCGAAAACCACGCCCAACAGTACTAGGAAGTGTTCCGTGGTTACCTCTGTAGAACAATTGTTCAGTGTAGGTTAAATACAAATATATTTATGTGTCTGCTTAGCAGATTACTAGGTTTCTTTTTGTTTGTGATGCTGTGGGGTTATGGTGGTTTGTTTGGCCATGAATCTGTGCAATGTATGTTCATATATATAGATATAACCTGTTAAAATATGCACTTGAATTAATGAACGAAGGACTATATATATGTTTTATGGAGTATGCGCATAGAAGCTAAACTAACTTTATTATTATTGTTATAATCTCCAAAATAAATAAAAAAATAACTTTGTTATATATATGGGAAAAGTGTGTGTCATTTTAAAAGATTTAAAGTTGTATCATTTTAAGAGAGAAAGAGATAGATAAAAGAGAGTTGACAAAAAAATAAAGGTGTGGGTCCTACTTCTTTGTTAAAGTGAAAGGATATAATTTGTGTCATTTAAAAAGATAAACATTTTTCATATATATATATATATGCAACTGATATTTGAGTTAATTATATATGAGCATGATAGAAGAATTTTTTTTTTATCGGAAATCATGATTTATAGAAATATGATTGGAAAATGAGTTTTTCAAAAATGTTACCAAACAGTTGTTTGGTAGGCTAATACATTTTTGGAAATATTAAGTTAATTTTTTTGATATTATGTTTGGTTGTATTAAAATTTGCTTTATCATAGTTCTTGGATGGTATTTTCAAAAAAAATTAAACACAAAATAAAATCTCCGAAAAATTAGATTTCTAAAAAAAAATTAAAAATCTCATACTAAACGTGGATAAATAAGATTACCATCTCCGATTTTTCATAAATTCTAAAATAATTATTTTCTTCTACGGTGATTTGATGAAGCTGCGGGAAAATTACCAGCATTTGCGGTATGATTGGTTTATCATATGCATCCTATTAATTTAGTTGGAAGTACATGCGTTGCATGAGAAGAAAACAAATCATTTTGCGTTTACATAATTTTTATTATTTTATCATTATTTATTTCATAATTATTTTTTAATAATCAAGGATGATATGTTTCTTGGAGGTATAAAGATAGGATTTTATGTTTATCATTTAACATAATATAACTTCACTTTCCTACACACATTAAAGAGGTGGGGTCCACATGTTTTTCTTTCTCTTTCATCATTCCACTTTCTCTCTCCCTTTTGATGTGAGAGTTAGAAACAACACTTACATTATGTTACATAACACTAATAAAACTCATCAAGATATGCCACTGGTTTTTTGTCGCATAAAAAAGTGTATAAGTGGAACTTCTTTTCCGGGACTTGAATTTGTCAGTGGCAGTGGCAGTTGCAGTTGAAGAGAAACTTCCTGAGGTCAGTTCGAAAGAGAGATGAAAAAACATGGGGGGGCCAGGTTCTTTCTACTCCTAAAACGTTTTTTAAAGGAAAAAGTTGTCAGCTAATTTACGAGTTTACATATACAGTCCAATGCTGTGAAGTGTGAATGCTATGTATAAGAGATTAGTGTTCAACGAATCACAATGTTGTTTGTATTTTAAGAGGATAGTTCAATAAAGTACTGGTGTGTGTTGGAATAATTTTGTTAGGTGTTATTTTTGAAAAGTTATTTTATACGTGATTCGAGTCACGAAATTATTACTTTCCCACGTAATCTTTTTTACGAAGAAAAAAAATGATAGTTAATTATATATGTGCCTAACGTGAGATTAGGTACTCCTTACTTAGGAAAAATTGAGATTAATTGAAGGACTAATTTATAGTTAGTTTACAAATGTAAAAAATTAACATATATAAATAAAAGGAAAGGAATAGGTTATATTTACAAACTTTTTTTGTTTACAAATTCTTACAAATTACACTAAGTATGACCGGTCATACTTTAATCATGCAGTGTATAATCGGTCGTACTTAGTGTAATTTTCAAAAAAAAAATTATAAATGAATCCTATCTAAAAAAAATTGCAATTGTTATGTTGCGGAAAAACAAAAATCACGTCCTCCTTAGTCTTTATCCATAGAAAATGTGTTAGGGTTTTATTTTATTTTATTAAAGCAATGGGTCTTTTATGACATTATGTCTGTAGAAAATCCACATCATGTACTGTTTGCAGTACATGAGAGACTTAAATTCCATAAATAAATTATAATTAAGTGCACTATATTTCGAGGAAGTTTCGTATTTAATTGGAAACGAACTTTGTTACGAAACCGAGGACTGCGATATTTCAGTTGAAGTGTTTGGGGGACCCTACTTGTTTGTGGTTATCACTTCTCTGCTTTGTTCATTGCTCCAATTTCCAAGATTTCAGTCGTTTGGCACTTGGCAGTTTCCCACTTGTATGTATGGCAGACGCAAGGGCATTTATGAGTCCAAAAAACTTTGTTCCTAGACTAATTTTATAGGACTTGTATTTATTATTTAACATGATCACAAAAATTTTTTACACACATAATATTTTGTAGGACTCGTATATTTTGAAGAAGAAAAAAAATTATGGCACGCAAAACAAATGTCTGTAACATAACACAATCATTTTTCCTACAACATATCTCTTATAAAACCCATTTTTATTACATGAAAATAGAAAATTATTGAAAATATGAAAAGCTAAATAAATCAGATTTTGAGAATTGTTTCAATCTAAATTGAAAAAAGTTTTATAAAAATAATGGACATTGCGACACCATATACACGGAAAGAGATTTGAGTTGTGTGATTTTAGGGGAAATAATTGGCAAAAAAAATAAAAAAAATTACAGCAATCATTTTTTGCCATGAGTTGTGTGATTTTTTTTTTTTGGATTACATCCGAGTATCCACACAGTCGATAGTTGTGAGACTAAAAATTTGATTGTAATTTATTTGGTAAAAAAAATAAATAATAAATTTAACGTGATATGTGATTTAAGATTTGAAATATGTTTTGAATAATTTAATTATTTTAATTTTTTGTATTTTTGAAAGGTAACTTTCATTATATTTATGTTTAAAAAAATTTCTTTTTTAAAAATTTTAAATTGATTTATAAGGAAATGTTTGGTTTAGGAGAAATTCTATGAATAATAGGAAAATGTTATACATAGGGAAATGGTTGGAAAGTGAAATAGGTAGGAAAATGTAAAAAAAATTGTTTGGTTGGAGAAAAATTTACCAGAGAAATTAGGTAACTTTTATGAAATTGTGTGATTTGAGTTGTGGAAATCACCCTCGATTACGGAAATATTTAATATGGTTCAGTATCACTGAATCTTTTAGTGCTACCTTTCACATCATTAATTTTTTTTTTTTTTTTTTACTTCTGTTATTTTTTTTCTTTTTTCAATTTTACTCTCCTATTTATACTAAGAGACCGTTCACAATAAATTATCTCCTCGATTACGCCTTATTTTGATGCAGAAGATATAAAGAAAATCAGCCTCAGCGGGTTTGATATATATAGCATCTTTGATTGACTGATTGCACCCACAAATAAAAAATTAAAAGTTGAAAAGATTGTGTTATCTTAGCGTTTAATTATATTCATGCATTTAAATTTGAACTGATTCTATTATTTATTCTATACCAAAAAAAAACAATATATCTAATATTTATTCACATAAACGATACCACTAATTAGGATACTATGTTGTACAATGATGTCTCTTATTTCACCCTAAAAAAAATGTCGATCTTACATATTTTTTGTATCATAAAAATTATATTGTTTAAAGTTTTGACTTAAGAGATTGATTTGATTTATACACGAACTTAGACTATGTTTGTATGATATATTACGCATCCTAACTTTCTGTTTAAAATGTAAAAGTTGATATTACCAAAAAAAATATATGTAAAAGTTGAGTTTTATTTACAAGAGGGAGGTTATTCTTACACCGGTACAAGAATAATAAATTTTACATTACATCTTCGTTCGTGTATTTAACTGTTAAGATTTATTGGGCCATATTAATTAATTAATTATGATCCAATAAATCTTAACTGTTAAGCTAATTTTTTTTTAAAAAATAAAAAACATTTCTCAAATAAAATTTTTATATGTATAAGAATATAATTGATACTATTATTAATTTAAATTTAAATAAATAATTTATATTTTTCAGCATATAATTTTAATTTATAATATGATAATAATATAAGACAAAAATTGAGAAAAAAATTATGTATATATAAGACCACAAAAAATTTAACTGATTTATTTTTATAATTACGATAAGTATAAGTAAAATTTAAAATAATATACAATTAAATAATAAATTATTTAAGCATAACAAGTCTAAGTGGCAAATTTAAAACTGAGTATTCAATCATCAAACAATGTATGGGATCTGGCTTATGCATACACAAGCACATGAATATTGTACACGTGCAAACATACATAAGGAGATAGAAAGACAAACCAGTGTCGTAGATGATCATTCTTTGGAGTCTTTTGAGTTATAGGGTGGCAATATAGTATATAATCATCCCCCTTCGTAGGTGGACAAGACCATATGTAGCAAGTTGCAAAACCTCGTTTCTTGCAATATTCAAGATATCCAATCTGATGATAGAAATGGAAAGACAAAAGTAACATTAATTAAAGTATTAAGAGTTTATTCTGATTTAGAAGGAAACAACAAAGGGAGCAAGTAATTACTAAAATAAAGATATAGGATATTCATACTACCATTTATTATGGTCCACTGTAAATATATACGACAGAGAGTACATAGTTACAATATTAAAGTTTTTTTTTAAAAAAAAAAAATCAGAGAAAAATTACTAATCTAATGATGATTAGAGATGTAGTGAATTGATAGTGAAAAACAGTGATAGTATGAATATCTTTCCACCAAAATAATTTATAAACAACTCACCAATATCTCATGGTAAATAAAGGTACGAAGAGCTTCACCAGTCACAGCCATTCTTTGGGGCCTCAAATACTTCACAGAATCAAGATATGAAATATATACACAACGCTGATTTTGATGTCTACAGTCTGAGGCAAACATCTACTCCTTCAATCTTTTGAAACAAAAAAATAGCCTGAAATAGAAGGTAATG